GAGGAGGGGGAGAAAGAGCGAGGAGGCGGGGAGGGACATGAGCAAGGGGAGGCGGATGAGGACTAATTTCGTGGAGGAGCAGGCGTTCGCAACCGGCGCAGCATCCAGGCAGAAGAGGAGGAGGAGGAGGAGCAGGAGGAGGAAGAGCAGGAGGAGGAGGAGGAGGAGGAGGAGGAGGATGAAGAGGAGGACGCGCAGGAGGAGGCCCGGTTCGCCTGAAACATCCTCAAAGCTCTGGGTTCCGAGACGTCCTGACCTGAGTTGGTCAGACCACTTTCGCCTGAGACATCCTCGAAACTCTGACCTCGGAGGTGCCTTGCCCCACGGTGGTCCGGGCACTTTCGCTTGAGACACGCTCGCATGTCTGGGTTCCGAGACGCCCTGAGGTGAGGTGTTCACTCCGATCTCGCCTGAGACATCCTGCGATCTCTGACCTCGGAGGTGCCCTGCCCCATGGTGGTCCGGGCACGTTCGCCTGAGACATCCTCGCAACTCTGGGTTCCGAGATGCACTGAGCTCTGACCTCGGAGATACATTGCCCCAAGGTGGTCTGGCCACTTCCGCCTGAGACCCTCGCCACTCTGAGTTGCGAGATGCCCTGAGCAGGTGGTCTGGCCACTACCGCCTGAGGCATCCTCACAACTCTGACCTCTTGGGGCCTCCGGGGGAGCCTCTTGGGCACTCTTGGCCAGGGCCCAGAAACAAAACCAGGCCAGGGCCCAGAGAAAAAATCCGAAACGCCCCAGAAACAAAACTTGAAACACAACTTGAAACAAAACCCTTGAAACAATTGTCCGGCTGTGGAGCCGCCTGTCGGGGCACACCGCCCTATGCATGTGTGATGTTAACCCATGCGCGCCCCGTATGATTCACACATAGGTATCATATTCAGCTAGGGGGGCATGGTTGTATATCTGTATATCTGAGACCACAGCACACGTATATCTATGAACATATGTGACCTCATATCATACGTACATGTATCTACATGCATGGTACAGCATCTTACGTGCGTGCATGTACATGCAGTGTGCCAATGCTTACGTATGTGTATGCATATGCATGGTATCACATCTACGTATGTGTATGCATATGCATGGTGTAACATCTCACGTATGTGTATGTATACGCATGGCAAAACATCATACGTATTTATTCATATGACGGCGCACCAGGTCCGTGCGCCCGGGGCCGGCGCCGCTACCACAAATGTGGGCTCCGGGGCCCTCGGGGAGCCCCGGGGCCTCACAGAAGACCGCCAGAAGGCACCAAGGAGGCTCGAAAGGCTCCAGAACAGACCCGGGACGCCCGAAGGTCGCTCCCAGACGCTCAACATGGCCTCCAAGGCGGCTTCAGAAGCCCCCAAGACACCCCAAGCGACCCCCAATAGGGCCCCAAAGAGAGCCCCAAGGGGCCAAAATAACCCCATTCCCTTCGTAAAACGTATATGTTTAACATATTGCTTGTTTTCGCTGTCGGTCCGGCCGAGGACGCGCCCCAGAGGGCCCCAATACAGCCCCAGAGAGCTCCAGGACGGCCCACGAAGGGCCCAAGACGACCGCAAATGTGGGCCCCGGGGCCCTCGGGGAGCCCCGGGGCCTCACAGAAGGCCGCCAGAAGGCGCCAAGGAGGCCCCAAGAGGCTCCAGAACAGACCCGGGACGCCCGAAGGTCGCTCCCAGACGCCCAACATGGCCTTCAAGGTGGCTTCAGAAGCCCCCAAGACACCCCAAGCGACCCCCAATAGGGCCCCAAAGAGAGCCCCAAGGGGCCAAAATAGCCCCATTCTCTTTGTAAAACGTATATTTTCAACATATTGCTTGTTTTCGCTGTCGGTCCGTGCTTGACGATCTCAGAAGCTCCCGAGACCGCCCCAATACGGCCCAGGACGCGCTCCAGAGGGCCCCAATACAGCAGGGGGGGGGGGGATTTTCGGAGGGGGGGGGGGGGAGACCCCTGGGTTCAGGAGGAAAAGGTAGGCAATTTTCCACAGTAAAGCGGCGGTGGATCACGCTCTCTCGTATATGCACATGTATATGTATATGCGTATGTACATGTATGTGTAAATGTATATGTATGTGCATAGACATATTCATATGTATGTTTGTGTATATATATATGTATATGTACATGTATATGTACATGTATATGCACATTCTATGCACATGTATATGTACAAGTATATGTGTATGCACATGATGATGTAAATGTATGTGTATAGGTATATGTATATACACATGTACATGTACATGAAATGCACGTGAATATGCATATATATATATATATATATATGCAAACTGTTGTGTATAGGTGCATCTGTACATAGGCATATGCATTTGTATAGGTATGCTTTTATTTTCAAATATAGATGCATGCATATGCGTATGCATAATTATATGTATATGTGTATGTATATGTATAGGTTCAGGTATGCGTATGTGCATATGCTTATGTTTATGTAGATGTGTATGTATGCGTATATGTATTGTGTGTTGTCCCAGACAATGAAGTTTTCGGGCCCTTGTCTCCTCACCCTTCCCCCCTCCCCGCCTTCAACAGTTGGCGGGTTGGGAGGGGCGGGGGCGCCGGGGCTTTTTTCACTGCAAGGTGGGGCCGTCTCAAAGATAACATGATTTTCTGGCGCGTTCGTGTGATTTTAGGCCGCCAGAAAAAACTACCCTTTTCAGTCGAAAAGGGTCGTTTTCCGACTTGTTATATTTTGCGTTCTCCGCTCAAGTTCTTTGGCTCGAGCGGCCCGCCGAAGCTTCGGCGGCCGCGCCCGAGGTCTTCTACATCGGCTCCCCGCGCGGCAGCGGCGCGGGCCATTCCGCCAGCTCGAGCGGTTCCTCGTGGGAGCTGATCGAGCGCGACGCCTTCGACGAGTGGCAGGCGCTGGACCTGCCGGAGGTCGAGCCGGAGAGCGTCTGCGAGACGGCGCGTCTCGGCTGTGGCTCGCTCGGGCTGCTGCTGTGGTCGCTCTTCGCTCTTGTGAGCGACCCGATCGTGGAGCAGGACGATTTCGAGAGTGACGTGGACGCCGTCGAGGCTCAGATGCCTGTGGAGCCATGGTCCCGGAGGTTCTACCGCCAGACAGCGACCGACGGGGTGGAGGTGCAGTTGGTGAGGCGGAAAAGTGGCAACGTTTGGGCCGTCATCACCCCAGACTTGAGTTTGGGCCTGGTGTGCATCACGGCGCGGACGACGCTGTTCACGGACCCGATCGCCGGGATTCGCTGGCGGCCGATGCCGCCGTTGAGTGCGGCCCAACGGGATGCCTACCTCAACCAGGCGGCGGAGGGGCTGCGCGCGTCGACGGTGCCCACGCTGCCCCTCTACCGTCCGGGGCGTGCCGGGCAACAGGCGATGGCCGTGAACGTGATCTATGCGTTGTTCAGCTCGGGGGCCTCATCTCTAAAGACTTCGAGGTGGTCGCTTCGGAGTCCGAAGCGGTTCCTGGGTGTGTTGGCCGCGTTGTTCGTGCTGTACGAGGCCCTCGTGATGCTGGGGGTGATCGAGTACATGAAGGAGGTGTGGGTGGCTTTCATCAGCTACATTTCCGCGGCCAAGGAGACGTTCGTGGAGAGCTCGGAGGCGGTGCAGGACTGGATGACCTACTTCGGGGAGTGGCGGGACTGGGCTCAGAAGCTCATGCCGCTCCAGCGCTGGTTAGCGATGCTGGTGGCTCTCGTCCTCTTGACTGTGTGGGCAGCGCACGAATGGTCGGATACTGCGGAGCCAGGCGAGTCTTCGATTGGTTCCTCCTCGGCGTCGAGCGTGTATGTCGCGGCGCACTCTGGTGCTGTTGCTCAGCCGCCGTTGCCGCCGCCAGCTCAGCCTCCTGTTGTGGACGCTTCGGCTTTGGCGGCCCAGCTGAGCGACCTCGCCGAGTCTCAGAAGGCCATGATGGAAGAGATCAGCGAGATCAGGACGGCGGAGCGGACTCGGGAGCTGCGTCGAGGCGTGCTCGAGGGTTCGGTGGAGTCACGAGGCCGATCCGAGTCCGAGGCCAACAAGCAGGTGATCGAGGGCATGATCGCGCGCTTGGACAAGTTCGAGGCGCGCCTGCAGGGGGAGGTGCCAGCCGACGCGAGCGTCGGGGAGAGGGTGGCCGCGACCGAGGGGGCCGCTGCTTCCTCTTCGGCTGGGGCGACGGCGGCCTCGCCTACCAAGGCGTCCGCGCCGAGCCTGATGGAGACCCCGGAGAAGCGTGCTGCTACGACCCCGCCGGAGGCTGTGGAGCTGGCCATCAAGCGGATGCGGTTCAAGGCCCAGTTGCCGCAGCAGGTGTTCTTGGAGCAGTTGGACGAGTACGAGGAGATCCCATCGGAAGAGTGGAACAGCCGCATGCCAGAGGGGCATCGGCAGAGGATTTCGGCGGAGGTGTTGTCGAAGATCTACTCGTCGGGGAAGACGGCAGAGGCGTGGTCGCGCGATTTCATTCGCGACCGCGGGCTGAGCGACTGCAACACGGCTCGGGAGATGATCGCGGACTTCGCGGCTGTGGACACGATGCTGATGACGGACCGCCAGAAGGGGTTCCTCAACCTGGTGAGCTTCGAGCGCCTGGTGCGCAAGGGCTATGCCATCGTGCGGGCCTACCGCAACGTGAACTGCCGCGACGACTGGAGTCGCCCCAAGGACGCGAAGAACTGGAAGTCGAAGGTGGACTGGGAGGCGGCTCGACGTCTGGATCCTCGGCTCGCCGACGAGAGCGCGATCCGGGTGATGAGCGCCGAGGAGGAGGTGAAGAAGGCCATGGGTCGGGACGCGCAGCTGATGAAGGCGCGCAGCGACCTGGACGGGGGAGCGGTTGCCGCTCCGTGACTGCTAAGGAACTTCAATTGGGGTCTCTCGGTTTCGTGTCGGTCGGCCCTTGCAGCTGGCGCTCGAGCCGTTCTTGGCGTCGGCATCTTTTGGCAACTTTATCTTTTCCGCTGCGGCTGACGCTCATCATCATCGTCGGCTGCCACGCGAGCTATTGCACGCCGAATTGGGGCTTTCATGTCTCGGCGGCGCGACATCCTGTCCGAGGTGGTGCTCTTCGCGCGCCCGGAGCGCCCGAGCTCGACGTCTCGTCGAGTGCTTGCGCGCTGGAAGGAGGAGGTGGAGACGCTCGGGAGGGCAAACCGCACGCTCTTGGCGCTGCGACAACTCTACCGTGGGAGTCTGGACGACAGCCTGCTGGAACTGGCCGACTGCTGGGGCCAGGGGGTGATGCCCGACAACCTGGACGGGGACTTTTCTCGGCGAGTGCTCGGGGAGGTTCGTCGCCAGCAACCGCCGCCGACGACGCCCTGTCAAGGAGCCGCGATCCTGCGGCTGCGCCCTGCCGCCTCAGCGGCGGGCAACCAGTCCCGGTCGACCTTCAAGCAAAGGTTGGCCGGACTTCGGAGGAGGAGTGCTGGCGGAAGTGTGCGGCTGCCGGACAGGGGCGATACGTTTCCCGCCCAGTGGGATCGAGTTGCTCTACCTCCCCCGGGGACCAGACCTGTGAATGCGAAGTCTGTGTCGCCTCGTGTGGCACAGAAGTTGGAGAGGTTCAAGGAGGAGATGTTGAAAGAGGATGGCGATGCCTGTGTGCAGGCCTGCGAGGTGCGCAACTACGTGGACCCGCACTTCCGAAAGAAGAAGGAGATGCTCCAGCTGGCGAGGAGGATGGCTCTGGCTGTGATGCTCTGCCGGACTGCCGAGAAGGTGGACGAGGTCGGGCTCTTCTGCGCGGTGAAGAAGGCCGAGCTGGCGAAGGAGGAGCCCGAGGTGACCCTGCGGCTGGTGTTCGACCAGAGGCGCTCCAACTCGCGGTGGCGAGCTCCGCCGTGGCGTGCCATGGGCGGTGTGAGCGCGATGTCTTTCCTGGACGGGTCGGAGGAGATGAAGGAGGACGGGGTGACCATGCGCTTCGGCACGGGCGACCTGCCCGACTTCTACTACACGCTGGAGCTGGGGGAGGATCTCGCGCCCTACTTCGTGCTGCCTGGCGTCTCTGGGGACGAGCTGGACGCGGTCTTGCCCGAGGCCTCTTTGCTGCCTGGGACTGGGTCCTACGTGGGGGTTAAGGTGGCCCTCATGGGCTTCTCGTGGGCGTGCTGGATAGCGCAGACCACCATGGAGGACATCTTCAACTCCGGGCCGCAGGCGGGATTACCATCGCTGTCGGAGGGGCAGCGGCTCGCCGAAGGAGGTCCATTGCCCCATCTCAGCCGAGACCTGCCCGCGGCGCACTACGAGTACATCGACGACGTCGGGATCATCGGGCTAGACTACCCCGCGGTCCCTGGCCAGGAGGAGGTCATGAAGGTGGAGGATATCTGGCTGGGCGCCAAGGAGCTGGCGATGGCGGCAGGCTTCCAGGTGCACAAGGACGCGTGCTCGACGAATGCTCGCATGATTGGTGGCGATTTCCAGGGCACTCGGCTGGCGCCGAACCAGGACAAGATGTGGCTCGCGGTCTTCGGCATCCAAGAGATCCTAGCCCGCAAGTGGGAGCTGCCCGACGCGATCGCGCGGATCGTGGGTATCTTGTCGTGGGGCTTTTTGATATGCAGGGGCGCCCTGAGTATTTTTTTCGGAGGTGCATGCGTGGTGCATGGAGTTTCGGGGAGGAGCTCGACGCGAGGTGCCGCTGGAGGTGCTGAGGGAGCTGGCGGCGGCAGCGGCGATCGCGCCCCTGATCTCGGTCGACCTGGCCACGCCCTGGGACCCCACCGTGATGATGTTCGACGCCAGCCTGTGCGGCGGGGCCATCATCTCCACCTCGGGCACGGTGGAGGAGCAGCGTCGCGAGGCTCGCTACGCTGTTCGAGGCGGCTGGACCGCGTGAGATGGTATATGCTCGTCCTGGGCTGCGGACTCCTGGTGCGAGGGCGAGGCCTTCAGGCGCGTGGGAGACGACGTGGAGTTGGGGACGCGGGTGCGCGTGCCACCGGTGCACGCCTGCTGGGACGACATCACCAGGTGGAAGGAGGTGGTGCGCTGGCGGTGGGAGGAGAAGGAGCACATCAACCTGCTGGAGATGCGCACAGGAGTCGCTGCGGCGAGGCATTCGGCGCGAAGTCGGGCGAGCTGGGGAAGACGGCACCTGCGGATCACGGACTCGATGGTGTGCCTCGGCGGCTTCAGCAAGGGCAGGTCCGCCAGTCGGCCGATCCTGATCTTGTGCAGAAGGATGGCCGCTCTCGACCTCGGGTGCGGGATGCGCGAGTACTGGCGCTGGGTGCCCTCCGACCGCAACCGCAGCGACGGCCCGAGCAGGGGTTTCCCCATCGGCCAGGCCCCGAAGGAGCGGAGGACGGACGAGCAGGTGCTGCCGGAGAAGGTGGCGCGGGAGATCGAGGCGCTGGCGGACGTGGCAGAGATGGACCCTTTCCAACCGCTCAGGATGGGGGTCTCGGTCCCGGTGAAGGTGCTGCGCTTCATGCACTTGTGCAGTGGGCACACTCGCGAGGGGGACTTAGAGCACTGGCTTTTCCGGATCGCCGCCTCGAGGGGGCACCTGCTGATCTGCGCCAACGTGGACATCGGCTTCGGGGCACAGTTCGACCTGACGGACGAGGTCAACGTCAGGAAGCTGGAGTTGCTGGCCGAGGCGGAGACCGACGGCGGACACTCGGGGCCCTCGTGTGCGACTTGGTCCAGGGTGCGCTTCCAGCCCGGAGGGCCGCCTCCGCTCCGTCTTCGACATCAGCTGTGGGGCCGGCCAGGCCTTCGAGGAAACGACCTGAAGAAAGTTCGACTCGGGAGCACCCAGCTGCTGAGCAGTCTGAAGGTCTTGAGACCAATTGGGCGCAAGGGGGGCTCGGTGTCGCTCGAGCACCCAGCCGACCCGGGCTGCGCCCCGTTCCCGTCCATCTTCATCACGGAGGAGGTGCTGCAGTGGGAGGCCGAGCTGGACGCATACAGGGTGACCTTTCATCAGTGCATGTGGGGCTGTGCCGCACTCAAGCTGACCACGCTAACTGGTACGGCGGCGGGCATGGAGCGATTCATCAGGACTTGCACCCACGAGAAGCACGTGGCGAGCCTTGTGGAAAGGACGCGACCGGTCGTTTCCGCACGAGGGTGGCCCAGGCGTACTCGTCGGAGTTCTGCCGGATGCTGGCGGAGTGCCACGTGGACGCCATGCTGAATATGCAGGAGCGCAGGGAGGCCGAGCTGACCGAGAGGGCCGTGGAGCAGCTGATAGCAGAGACTCTGGAGCGCAGGCGCCGGGACCATTCATCAGTGGATATCTTGCCGACGGCCTTCCTCGAAGCGTCAGGATAAGTGAAGCGCCCGAATGGCCAGAGGTGATCGTCGCACCTGCTGTTGCTCGGATGGCCGCCAGAAAATAACGACCCCTTTCAGTCGAAAAGGGTCGTTTTCAGGGCTCGCACTTCGGGCTCGGGAACTTCGAGCGCGCGTGCCTCTATGACCTTGGCTTCCACCCGGTCTTCGCTGAGGCAATCCTCTTCTGGTCGGTGTTCGTGTTGGGTGGGCCTGGTGATCTGGGCTGTGACGCCGACCCGGGCGAGGGCGGCACCCGAGGAGAGGCTGCGCCATCACGCTCAGCACCGCAAGATGGGCAGCACCCACCGCGGGAACGAGGCGGAGCGTTCGTCATCATGGGGGGCTACGCCGAGAAGCAGGACTACGGCTGGATTGGCGTTGCTCCCGTTCTCGGTCTCCATCGAGACCGCGCTGGGCTGCTACGTGCCGAATGTGCGGCGCTTCCTGGAATTCGCCCTGGAGTGGAACCTGCCTATGATGAGCCGCGAGGAGATCGACGACTCGGTCCTCTGCTACCTGGGCCGGCTCGTGGAAGACGAGGAGGTGGGTCCACACCGAGGCGACTTCGTGGTGCATGGCATGGCGTACGTGTGGCCAGAGCTGTCTACAGGGCTGCCGAGGTCGAACCGAGCGCTGCGAGCTTGGCATCGATTGCACGTGGCCGGAGAAGGCGGACCTCAGCCGCTGGAGTTGTGGGCCGTGTTGGACGAGGCTATGAGGTTAGCCGGTAACGTGGAGGCGGCCGACGCGGCGGAGCTCGCGCTGGGCGCCTACCTGAGATCCGCCGAGCTCTTCGCCTTGCGCGCCTCGGACATCGTCGTCGACACGGACGCGCAGGGCGAGCAGGTGGTGGCGCTGCGGCTCGGAGTCGCCGAGCGGGCCGAGCGCGCGAAGACGGGCGTGAGGCAGGGCGCGCTGGTCGATCGCAAGCACGTTGCCGAGATGCTCGTCCGGAGGAAGTCGGTCAAGCAGCCTGCTGACCGAGTGTTCGCCTGCTCGGTTGACGCCTACCGCCGGGCGCTGCGGCGGGCCTGCGAGGACATCGGAGCGCCGACGTTCCCGCCGCACGCGGCCAGGCACTCGGGCCCCAGTCGCGACGCGGCCGAGGGCTACAGGACGGCGTGGGCCATTTAGCGTCGTGGGCGCTGGGCCTCGGAGAAGAGCGCGCTGAGGTACATGACGACGCGCGCGTTGGCCGCCGCGCGAGCAGCCCTACCGCCAGAGCTGCTGCAGCGTGGAGCCGGTCTGTTGCAGAAGAAAGTCGCGCGCCCGGAAAAGGCGCGAGAACGAGCCCGGACAATGCGCAGACATGTATTTCTATTCAATCGATTATTTTCCAGAGTTGCGGTTGTGAGCTCCAATGGCGGCTTGAACCGTGGCGCCAGTCGCCCACCCACCCGGACCCGGGCGCCTACGACAAGCCAGGCGCTCTAGCAGTTGCAGCGGTGAAGTGGGACATTCGTTGTTGCAGGCTGCCTCTGACTTGTGAGATATCGAGTTTGAGCCTGCCCTGACCAGTGCCAGCCGCCGCGTCGGCGGCTTCATGTTCACGTGTGAGGTGGAAATGAAATTTGCCCAGTGGCTGGCCCCACCTTGCCCGCCGCCCCCCGCTCGGGTGAGAGTTAAGACTTGGAACCTCTAAATGTGTGTTGTCCCAGACAGTGAAGTTTTCGGGCCTTTGTCTCCTCACCCTTCCCCCCTCCCCGCCTTCAACAGTTGGCGGGTTGGGAGGAGCGGGGGCGCCGGGGCTTTTTTCACTGCAAGGTGGGGCCGTCCCAAAGATAACATGATTTTCTGGCGCGCTCGTGTGATTTTAGGCCGCCAGAAAAAAAAAACGGCCCTTTTCAGTCGAAAAGGGTCGTTTTCCGACTTGTTATATTTTGCGTTCTCCGCTCAAGTTCTCCCTCCCGCCCTTCCCCTTTCGCTCTCTTCCGCTCTCCCCGCTCACTTTAACCTCAACCCTGGTCTGTGGGGACATTGGTTGTTGCAGGCTGCCTCTGACTTGTGAGATATCGAGTTTGAGCCTGCCCTGATCAGTGCCAGCCACCGCGTCGGCGGCTTCATGTTCACGTGTGAGGTGGAAGTGAAATTTGCCCAGTGGCTGGCGCCACCTTGCCCGCCGCCCCCCGCTCGGGTGAGAGTTAAGACTTGGAGCCTCTAAAACGTAGATGTATCTGCATTTGTGTATGTATTTACACATGGGCATGCATATGTATTTGTATACGTATACGTGTATATATATATATGTAGATGTAAATGTAGATGTAAATGAATATGTACAGCTATATTTACATGTATGTCATATGTAGATGTAGATGTAGATGTAGATGCATATGGAAATGTATATGTATATGCAGACGTATATGTATATGTCGATGTGTGTGTATATTTATATATATATATACATACAGAGAGAGAGAGAGATGTAGATATCCCCGTGCACGAGGCCCGGGCGACCGGGGCCGCGACCACGACAGGGCATGGGAGGACCAGGGTTCCCCAGTCCGCTCCCAGAGCACCCCGGAGCGGCCCTGGAGCTCCCAGACTGTCCCAGAGAGCTCCCAGAAGCCCTCGGGGACTTCGAAAAGCCCTTCCAAGACAGCCCAGCTAGCCTTAACGTGGTCCAGGATGGGTTCGAGACCGCAAATACACAGCCCAAGAGGCCTCCAAGAGGCCTCAAGAGAGCTCCGAGAAGCATCCCGAGAGCCCGAAGAGGCTCAAATCCTTGATTTCCGTTGGTTTTTGAAATGTTTTTCGGTGTCTCGCGTTTTCGACCTCCCGGCGCTCTACGACAGCCGACGACGCCCCCAAACCGCCGAAAAGACCTCCAACAGAGCACCAAGATTGCCCAAGGGAGCCCGAAAATTGCCTGGGACGAGCCTCAGACGGCCCAAGAGAGCCCCAGGACAGGCCCATGCTGGGCCCCACAGCGGGAGCGGGAGGCCCCAAGGCAGCCCTGACGGCCCGAACGTGGCCCCAGACGGGCCCAACACGGCCAATACACAGCCCAAGAGCCCTCCGAAATGTATGTATGTATGTATGTATGTATGTATGTATGTATGTGCATGTATGTATGTATGTATGTATGTATGTATGTATGTATGTATGTATGTATGTATGTATGTATGTATGTGTGTGTATGTATGTATGTATGTATGTATGTATGTATGTATGTATGTATGTATGTATGTATGTATGTATGTATGTATGTGTGTATGTATGTATGTATGTATGCATGTATGTTTGTGTGTGTATGTATGTGTGTATGCATGTATGTATACATGAACATATATATATACACCTTTTTACATACATATACACATACATACACATACACACACATATTTATATATGCTGTGTTGGCTTATGTATGCATAATATTTAGTACATATACATATACGTATAATGGGTAGGGGGGTCCCGGGCCCTCCGAAGTGCACTGATTTTTCGTCTGACCGTTTCGGGCCCAGCGGGGGGCGCCAAAAAACGTCAAAAGGGGCCGAGAGACGTCCAAGAGGGCGCCTTGATGGCCCACGACCGGTCCGAGAGAGCCCAAGACCGCAAAAGAGCGTTCCAAAATTGGTCCAACATGGCTTTGAAGACAGCCCAAGAGAGCTTCAAGATGGCCAAGATGCCCTCAAAAGTGCTCCCACGAGGCACTCAGGAGGCGAAGCAAGTAGGTTTCCTCAATGGTTTTTGAAGGTTGTTCGTGTTCTCGCTGTTTCGTGCTTCCAACGGTTCAAGACAGCCCATGAGGCCCCAGAAACCAGCTCAAGACGGCCCAAGAGGCACCCAAAGAGGGCGCCACGACGGCGCAATAGAGAGAGCCCCCAAGATGGCCCAAAAAGTGCCCCAAGGCGGCCCTAGAGGCGCCCAAGATCGCCTCAAGAGGGCCCCAAGAGGGGCTCAAGAGGGGGAACACGAACCGACAATTCGAGCCTTCCGCCCCAGTAGGCCTCCAGGAGGCCCCAAGAGACCCCAAGAGAGCCCAAGAGGCCCCCTAGAGGCCTCCTAGAGGCTCCACGAGGCCCCACAGGAGCCCCCAAAGACGCCCCACGAGCATCCGTAGCCATTTTGGCTCAAGGTGGATCTGAGTGCAGCGCGCAAGCGCTCATCATAGTTGCCCATCACCATGCGGACCCCGCGACCAGACCCCTGGGGCCCGAGGCTGCCCACTTTTCCCAAACTCCCCCCTCCCCCCGCGGTGCCCACTGTGTCCCTCGGGGTCCTTCGGGGGGCTTTCGGAGGGCCCGAAGGCGCTCCCCAGACGGTCCAGGAGGCTTCCGAGACGGTCCAAGAGTTCGTCAAGACGCCCATGATGGCTTCAAGACGGCCCGAGAGGCCCCCCAAGCGCTTGAAGAGGGCTTCAAGAGGACACTTATGAGGGCCGCAAGGAACACACATCGCCCTAATTCCTTTGGGAAGAGTCTATTTTGGGCATATGCGCTTTGTATTAATAGCGTCCACGACGGCCTCAGAGAACCCCAAGAGCGCCGCAAGACATCCCAACAAGGCCTCCAAGACGGAAGACGGTCCAAGAAGCTCCCAGGATCGCCCCAAAACGTCCCACAGAGCCCTCCAAGACGACCTCCGTAGGCGCCTGTGGATCCCAGAGCGCTCTGAGACAGTCCAAGAGGCCCACAAGACACCTCACTCTGCACCCCTCCCCGCTCCTCCCAGATTCCTCCCCATCCCTCCCCGCTCCAGGCAAGTGTGCGCGAGGCGGTTGTATCTCTGGCCGCGAGATCCTGCCAGTGTATACCTACATGTACGACCACCCTTCGGGTGATAAAGAGGTTGTGCGTGTGGTGGTGGGGGTGAGGAAGGGGAACCAACTGGAGCTACAACATAGCATTGCATCGCACAGCAGAGCATAGCATAGCATCGCATAGCATCGCACAACACAGCATAGACGAGCATCGCGTAGCATAGCATAGCATAGCATAGCATATCATGTCATAACATCGCATCGCATCGCGTCGCATATACTAGCAGATCATCGCATGGCACAGTATGGCGTAGCATAGCATAGCATCGCATCGCACAGCATAGTATCGCATCGCATCACACCGCATAGCTTAGCCTCGCATTGATAACATAGCGTACTATGCGGGCCGAACCGTACAATGGCCGAAAGTTCGTCCAAACGGCGCTCTCGCCTCGGCGCGGGCAGCACACCGCCAGCGTCACCTGCACGCCGTGGCCAGCTTAAGTTTAAGAGCGAATCGTGAGGATGTCTCAGCAGAAACCGGCTTTCTTGGTTCAGATGGGCGGGCTGGACGACATGGGCGAATCAAACGCACGTTCGGGCCTGCGGCGGCCGCCCGGGACGGTCAGGGCACCCACAAGGCGCGCGCTCGCCGTCGACGGCGGGGCGCGGCTGCGGGAGAGCAGCCCGAGGCGAGGAGGCCCTCCCCCCACGAGCGATGCCCTGGCAGATTGGGCCAGTTTGATTGCCGCCAGTTTCCGTCGAACGCGTGCGGATCAAGGGTGCGACGGTGATAACGGATCATTGTGCAGGCAGTTGCACGTCTCGTGGAATATGTTGCGGCGTTTATTTCCGTGTTTTGCGTCGTGAATTCTTGTTATCCGTGTCGCGCCTCCGTCTACTCACTCCCTCCTCCTCCTCCTCCTCCCTCCTTTTCCATATCACGATCAGAATTATCGCGATGTGACAGGCCTCGCACTTGGGCAACACAAGGGGGTGCCGCCAGGGGATAATTAGGACACTTACCGGTTCGTGCCCAGATTGTGGGGATGTCTCCAGCGGTTCGCTTGTTTCACGGATGTAGGCGCGTCTTTTTCAGGGCCGCGTGGTGTTCGCGATGTCGCTACAAACGTTGCTGGGCGCCACAATGGGGAGCGACCACGGGGTGGGACATTTGCCCACTTGCGGTCAGCATTCGGGGATATCTCACGCGAGACGTTGGCTTTTTGAGGTGGGTGTACTTTTTTTCAGGGCCGCCACGAAGGAAGCGAATACTCGGATCAGTCCCGGCAGTCGCCGCGGTACTGGGAAGACCGTCGGATCGATCATTTCGTTGTCGATTTTTTTTGGCGCGTACCGTTCAAACCTTCAGGGTGGCCCAGTGTTGGCAAATTTTGCGCGGTGGTTGCACGACGAAGGTGGGCGC